AGCTACAGTCAGACACAGCCAGGCTCACTTCTGACCTGTCACACCCCTGGTCTTGCCCTGCTGGGAGATTATATCATCTCCCGGAAAGGAAACAGCAGCCATACCGCGTACTGCTCCTCAGAGTGCTTTGCTCACCACCTCTGACAGCCTTGCCAACTGATACGGTTTGGCTGTGTCCCCACCCAAATCTCACCTTGAATTGTAATTCCCATAATCCCCACACGTCCTGGGAGGGACCTGGAGGTGATTGAATCGTGAAGGTGGTTTCCTACATGCTGCTCTCATGATAGCAAGTGAGTTCTCACGAGAGCTGATGGTTTTATAAGTGTCTGGCATTTCCTCTCTTTGCTCTCTTTGCACTTTTCTGTTTCCTGCTGCCCTGTGAAGAAGCACCTTCCACCATGATTCTAAGTTTCCTAAGACCTCCCCAGCAGTGAGGAACTGTGAGTCAATGAAATCTCTTTCCCTTTAAATTACCCAGTTATAGCAACTAAGGCCTGAGCTGTCTTTCTCCTTATGCACAGGAACCCATAATGACTGCTGTCCAGGGCCCACCTCTCTCTGTAACATTTCAGTCACCCCTGATGAGGCCTTGGATCTGAGGACACAGAGGGAGTGGACGAGGAAGGTTGGGCCTCCAGGTTCCTGATTCCAAAAGCCAGTCTTGCTCCTACCCTGGCTGACTCTGACTTTGACTCATCCACAGAGAGGAGCCAGCCACCTCTGGAAGGCCATGGAGCGGGGACTTGACTTCAGGCAATGCTCTCATTGCCTCGGGGGGCCAGGGGGTGGTTCTGGGGCAAAGGAGCTCACACTCCCCCATCCGCTTGTGCAGCCTGAGGGCAGTTGTGCACCAGAGCTGAGGATGGAATGGGACGCGTAGGTTGGGCAGCCAGAGAAACCGGGTTCTCCCCCCGTGGCAGGACCCCGGGCTCGCCTTAACCTCTGAGACCCATGGTTTCCTTTTCTGTATAAACAAGGATGTCGCTGGCTCCTGGTGCAGGCTCAGGAAAACGGGAGGAGGCAGCTGAACATCTTCCCCGTCCCTTACACTTCTTTCCCCTGAACTGAGGCTTGGCCATGCCAAAATTTGGGGAGTGGGTGACAGACTTGCCAGGTGGGTGTCCCCAGCCCTCGACAGGACCATGACTGGTTCTAGTGTTCCCTGCAATGCTGCCTGGCATGTGCAGGCTCAGGGCACAGAGATGAAGGACTGAGGCGTGGACAGGCATGCCACCCGCTCCCACTTGCCCACATTTGCAGGACATAACTCTCCGTGGGGTGGGGTGGGGGGGTTCAGGCACACTGGGAGACAGCCGGAGGGATGAATAAAGGCTGAACCAACCTTCTGGAGGCCTAGGTTCAAATTTTCTCTCTGCATTTGCTGTGAAACCTCGGGAAAACCAAACGCCTCTCAGGGCTTTCGATTTCCTGATTGGTGAAATGCCAGCCAACGGGCGGTTTCTAAGCCTCACTGCCAGCTCCCTCTGAGCCTCTGCGCATGCTGCCCCTCTACTGGGAACGCCCCTTCCCACCGTCCCACACCCAGCCTGGCACCCTCACGTTCTCCTGCAGCCTCCTGTGCTCAGTAATGTTCCCCCAACCTGGTGACTCACCCTGCCTTCCCCCAAGCCTCTGTATCACTCTAGGCAGATACCAGATAAATATGCACCACATGGACTTCATTTCCAATGCACCCGCCCGCCTGTCTCCCTGTCTACACTGTGGACTCCTCCAGGGCAGGGAGCAGGTTGTATTCATCTCAGTCACCCAGCGTCTCTCAGCCTGACACACAGTAGGCCCTTACAGATGGGGTTTCATTCATCACCCAAAGAAGCTATCCTTTATATTATATATACTTTTTTCTTTTTATTATTATTATACTTTAAGTTCTAGGGTACATGTGCATAACATACAGGTTTGTTACATATGTGTACTTGTGCCATGTTGGTGTGCTGCACCCATCAACTCATCAGCACCCATCAACTCGTCATTTACATCAGGTATGTATATAATTATGTTATAATAGTGACGTATGATATAATGTATTAATATTATATTAATCATTAATATTATTAATATATTGTTAATAAATACAGTAATAATGTTATACTATATTATTTATAGTATAAATCTGAAGAGAATTTCTGATGTGAGCTGTTTTCCTATTAACCTGCTGGTTGACAAGGACTTGCTCCCCTGTCACTGCAAAGGCTGTGATGCTGGGTGCTCGCCTTCCTCACGCCTCTGCAATCGCCCTCTCGCCTGACTTCTCCCTCACTGGAGCTAACCTCATGGGGATTGCCTGTGCCCACTCTGTTCAAGGAGTGAGATGTAATTAAGGTTTCCTTTTCCCCTGGGGAAGAGGAACAGGGCTAAAGTGTCAGTAGATTCATAAGCAAGGGTATGTTTCACAGGCCCCAAGGCCCAGACTACGGCTGGGGTTTCCTGTCCAGGCAGACTTCTCTCTAAGCGGACGTCAGCTGTCCTGTACTCCCTGCTGCTCAGATGCACTTTCTGAAGAAGTGGACAGAAGGGATGAATACAGGAATTGGGGTTTGTGCGATGCCGTCTCCAGTAGGGTTGGAGGAAGACAGTGTATGGAGGCCTTTTTAGGGACACACGGGTCCACGGAGAGCCTGGGAAAACCCTGCCTCCTCCTCCGTCTGCATCAGGCCTCTTGCATTGCTGTAAAGAAATACCTGAGACTGGGTAACTGATAAAGAAAATAAGTGTAATTGGTTCACAGTTCTACAGGCTGTACACAAAGCATAACACCAGCATCTGATCCATTCCTAGAGAGGCCTCAGGGAACTGCTGCTCATGGCAGAAGGCAATGGGTGAGCTGGCACATGGCGAAAGCTGGAGGGATAGAGAGAGAGAGAGAGAGAGAGTGGGGGAGGTGCTATACACTTTAAACGGCCAGATTGAAGGAGAACTCAGATCAGGAGCTCACTCATCCCCAAAGGGATGTCCCAAGCCATTCATAAGGGATACATTCCCATGAACCAATGACCTCCCACCAGGACCTACCTCCAACACTGGGGATTACAATTCAACATGAAATTCGAGCAGAGGCGAGTATCCAAACTATATCACTTTTCCTTCATCCATCCATCCGTCCATCCATCCATCCATCCATCCACTCATCCATCCATCCATCCATCCATCCATCCTCTCTCTCTCTCTCTCTCACACACACACACACACACACATACATACACACATACACACACATACACACACACACACATATACACACACACATATACACACACATACACATACACACACACACATACACACACATACACACATACACACACACATACACACACACACATACTCACATACACACACACATACACACACACACACACATACACACACACATACACACACACATACACACACATACACACACACATACACACACATACACACACACACATACACACACACACACATACACACATACACACACATATGCATAGGGAGGAAGAAGAGACTTCCTGGAGAGGCCAAAGCCTGTTCGTTAAGAGGTCCCCCCACCAATGCTGGCCAGAAGGCTGGGCCAGGCCCCACTCCTGGTTGATGGTTGAGGCCGCGCTGTACCAGGCTCGCCCAGCCTAGCAAAAAGGAGCTGCTTCTTCCAGGCTCACTGGAGCTTCCTGCTCAGCGACTGGTCGGCTGATGGATGGGAGCTGTTGAAATCGGGGAGGATTACAAGCCTTAAGTCCTAGCTCTCTGGCTCCAGAGGTTCAATAAGGCCATTTGTATATCAGAAGTAATTTTCAAACCTGGATTCTTCCTGTCAAGCTGAAGGCAGCGAGGATTCTGGGAGTTTCCGGGGCCTTGATCTTTGGATTGGTTCTTTTTAATATAACTTAAGGATGACAAATTGAGATGTTGACTTAATTCCCAGTGATCTGAAAATCAGTGCTACTTTAAGAGTTAGAGAAAGTAAATGGTTGCCAATTGTTACTACCTACATTACCCCAGAAAATGGGGGTTCTCATCTATAACCTGGGATGCTAATCACCCCAGCTCATGGGGCTAGCCAAGGAAGGCGATTTGTGAAAAGTGTTTAAGTGTAAATTGCCTGGCTGTGGCGAGTGCCCAATCAGAGCTTGCCATCATTTCTATCATTACTAATAGACCACCCACTATTCCACATTGCCTCCGGACCCAGGGCCACTGCGGGGTAAGCAGCTTCATTTCAACCAAGATTTTACTTTCCTCACTTTCCATGGAGGAACAGGCAGGTGAGGGACAGCAGGGAAGTGACAAAAGCAGGAGGGTCAAGATTCCCACTCGGTCCCCTGCTGCAAGATCCTGACTAGATCCTCCACTTACCCCAGGGCTTCTCTGCAGAACATGCTGGGCCTGTGGGCCCCCAGTGAAGGGAAGTGAAGGTTGCTCAGCCTCCTTCTGTTCCTCTCCTGCTAAGAATTAGAAACGAAGTGGCATGATCCCCAAATATGTAGCGTACATTATAGCTGAGTCATATTTGCCAGATAAGACAATGCAAGAGCTAGTGACAAAATAGAAGAAATTATTCACACAAATTGGCAAAGGCTTGGTGCCAAGAACATATAAGGAGCTCCCACAAATCAACAGGAAAAACACAACCCCACAGAACAGTGGGCACAGCAGATGTTGAGCTGAAGAGGAGATGCCCACGGCCCACAGGCCCAGGAGGATGTGCTCCGATGGTTGCCAGGGATCCGGGGTGCAAACCACGGCCACTATGAACACGAACTGACACCTGGTCAGTTGCAGAAATGAAGGCAACTGACTACACCAAGCAGCGACAAAGATGTGAACCCACTGTGCAAGTGTATTAATCCACTCGTCTACACATTTATATGTTGCTAGTGGAAAGATAAATCAGTACAAGTGGTTGGGAAGCCGTTTGGAGGAATCTCCCTGCAGTGAAGGCAAGCACCTGGTGGGCTGCAGTGCTGTGTCCTGGTCTGTAGCATTGAGAAATCCCTGAAAGTCCAGGGAGATACGTTCAAGGTTGGTCATCAGAGCATCACAGGTGCTGGACTTTCTGCAGAAGAGAAGAGGAACAGAGGGCAGAACAGGCAGAAGGGAACACAGCCCAACCAAAGAAAACAGGCATGGCCAGAAGAAGCCTCCTGAGTCCTGAGGACATAATCTTAAATTCTAAGAGTGAACTCCCAAGATTGCTTCCAAACACTCTACCTTTTTCCACAAAGATTAAAAATGAACACTTAAAAATATACTTTTATTTGATTTTATTTATTGCAGATGCAATCAATTACCTGAAAAGGTGAGCAGGACGTGTTGTGCGTAGGGAGGCAGATGGCGTTTGTGGGGCTGGAAGAAGGTTGGCGTGAGGTCTGAGCTGCGGCTGCAGTGGGGCTGGAAGAAGGTTGGCGTGAGGTCTGAGCTGGGGCTGCAGTGGGGCTGGAAGAAAGTCTGCGTGAGGTCTGAGCTGCGGCTGCAGGGCCCTAGGCTGATTGTTACCAAGCACCGAGGTCTTGCTTGGGGTGGAGGGCCCACGGGGCGCCGTGACCCTGTCAACTATGCCTCGCCCCCAGTTCCACTCCTCTACCCCCAGCTCTGAGGCGCTGGCTGGGCAAACCCGGCTCAGCTCTGCCAACGCCAGCTGGCCTGAAATGTCATGGCCACGCGGTCGGCAGCCCCCAGGGAGGCTCTGAACGGGGGGCCCTGGAAGGTGGCTCTGAGCAGCTCCTTCTCTTCCTGTTCCCTGAGTTTCCTGCCCCCAGTGCAGTTTGTTCCAGCACTGGATCTGCCTGGCAGTTTTCTCAACACTTGTAGAGTCAGCCTCTCGTTCTCCTTCAGACGCCCGCACAAGCTGGCCAGTTCTCTCCTCAGAGCTCTCTGTCTCAGCCCCTGGAACCCCTACTTAACACTCAGGACCCCAGCACCAGCTAGGTGTGGCCTCATCCCCAGAGACCCCCTAACGCCTTTCCTGTTTCCCATCCCACAGGGTGGCAGCGGCCTCACGGGCTCCTCTGTGTGTGCAGGTGTCCCCTGTCCGCACTTGCCAAGGCAGCATCTCTTCATTTTAAAATCTGCCTATCAACATAACAGCCATGGTTCTGTCTGTTGACTACACACTGACCACTATTGGTACTTATTAAATTGTTGTAAAATGTAGGAAGAGTCATGTTGATAAGGAGAAGCAGAAGTGAACGGACGGAAGAGATGCCAGTGAGTCAAAGCCGAGGAGCCCACACCTTTGTGCTGGAGTCTGGTCTGCGGCCTCTGCTTCTTGTGGCCATGACTTTTCAGGCCAGCCAGTGTTGGCTGAGCTGAGCCTGTGTGCTCGCGACGGTGTCAGGCATTTCCACAGGACGTCTGATAAGAACGATCACGCAGGCTCTCAAACAGCCCAGCCTGCTGCCTCCCAAACCATGCTGGGCATTTGAAAATGCTGCGTATTCAAGAAGGCTGCAATCCCCAGCCCTGTCCCCGGTTATCGGAGTTGGGAGGTTTCCAGCGCCCTCCACTCACCTGTGCTAGGTGAGAGGACCTGGGAAATCCAGGGCAAACCTAGACCGGCATGACGTGCATGACAGTGCCTCACCAGGTGCAGGAGGGATTGTGGGAAAAATCGTGATTGCAATCCCAGGATAAGTCAACTGTGAAGGTGCAAACAGGAGCAGGAAGAAGCTGGTGTCCCCAACACAGGGAGGCTCCACGAGCGTGTTACCAGGACTCTGGGCATCGTTTTTACAGCTTCCTGAAAGAGTGCATGACTTACAGCTCGAAAAATCCAGCAATTACAGACAGGGGGCTGTTGATGTAGAGAAAGAGCATTTTTCCAGCCCCCCGAATGCTAGCTACATTAGAGCCACCTTACATGCCTGTCTCATCTAATTTTCTCAGCACTCTGAGGGTGGCTATCATTATCCCCATTTTACAGATATGCAAAATGAGGCTCTAAGAGTTTGGAAGACTTACCCAATGTTGTTAGAGACAGAATCAGGACTCTAACCCTAGTGGTGTGTTTAACTCGACACACACACACACACATGTGAACACTTGTATGTACACACATCCTCAGTAACCTTCATTCAGCCCAGACCTCCTACCACCTGAAGTTTCTCTCCACTTTTCCCACTCTGAAGGACAACTTCAACAACAAATAAAAACATAAAGCCCCTAAACACCAATAAAATATCCAAATCATGCTAATTGGTATTGCTTGAGAGCTAATAAGCCAGACCCTATGCTTAGCACTTGACAAATGAGAAATGAAACTTTGAGAGGTGAAATCTCTTGTCCAAATTCTTCATCTCTGAAGCACCAGGCAAGGCCTCTGTCTAGTGTCTAACTTTAGAGCCCAGGCCTCTAAGCCTCACTGGGCTGCCAGTTTGCAATAGTCACCTTGACCATGTCCTCCCAGAGCCCAACAGTGTGCACCAAGAGCCAACTCTGGCCAAACTGTGACGTGGGCCCTGACCCAGACTTCTCCACTATGGCCAGTCAGGTGGCCATAGGTGACTCACAGTCCTATGAGTCCTTGTCAGCTTGGAAATTCAGAAAGGTGTAGAAGTTACTATTCAGGTGGTCATTCTCATGGGAGGATGGATTATTCAAGTCAGAAGACATGTGGATCAAGAGCAGGAAGGGAAGTCCACTTTGAGAAATTGAAACTTGAATTTGAGGTCCCTGCTCTTCTCCTGGGACCTTGACCCAGACTGCCTTTTCCTCTCTGCTCTCTAGTTCCCTAACTCTAAAATAAGAAGGTTCATCCAATAAAAATCTAAGGTCTTTACCAGCCCTCACTGCCTGTGTATTTCATAACATAAACTTATTGCCAGGGCACCCAATTGCTCTCATATTTATCTCAGTGCTTCTTTTCAGTATGTGATTTGTCTGGGTAAAATTACATGGTTGTAATGCTATTTCTTCGAGCTGACAAGAAGGAAAATGGCTTCACAGGACAGCAGATGAGGGAACATTATTGTGCACAGCATAGTCCTTCAGGTCATTACAGTGCAGTTTCCCCAAGAAGCCCTTGAATGGTGAGCTAATGCTGTTGTAAACGTATTTGCAAGTGTGCCTGGTGCCATCCATGCTGAATGCTACCCATGCAATTTGGCTGTTACTCTGTAATTCTCGTAATGGCTTCACTCATCACGCCAAAGTATTAGCTGCTTATAACCTGTTTGAGGTTGTGAAATTGCTTACTATTTGCTTATAGGAGAACACAGATCTGTGAGTAGAGAAGTCTGTAACAAATGATTGTCTCCAAGTTGGACAAGGGAAATTTTCAGCTTGCTTATCCCTCCTGCTAAATTTTACAATAAAATTTAGATTATCTCTGCTATACTTGGAAGAACAAATGGAAGCTCTAAAGGATAGGTGGATCCTCCTCAGCATCAATGGCACTGTGAGGCTGCCTCACCTGGAGAGGAGCGGTCTAGGAGAGAAAACAAACAAACAAACAAACAAAAACACACATATACACAGACCATGTAGGGGTATCAGTGGAATGCCTAATAGCAATTAAATGTCATTTATAAAGACAAAAGATAATTCTATGAAATTCAATAGAAGAAACTGCAGCTTCAGTGTCATAAATGGTAGCATCCTTGTGTAAGAAGCACAGTGGTAAAACCAAGAGTGGTAAACCAAGCATGGTAAAACCAAGAGCTCTGTGGTGGTGAGGATGTGCTAGGCAGTGGTCACCACGGAGCTTTGGCAGCTGGGAAGTGGGAGTGTAAAGTTCTCTGTAGCTTGCAACTGATGGACTGTCTACCTGGTCTCCTTGCTCTGCTCCCCTGAGTCTTGACTATAACTGTTGGCCAGTTCAGCCACTGCTCCCAAGAATGTTATCAGGAGGGGCCTGTTTTTCCATGTGTACTGCCAAAGAATCCCTGGGCAGGATGTGTGGGTTCTCACTGTGGAACCAGGGCAGCATGACTATGCACACAACCAGGACACTGTACAGCCAGTAGCTGTGAATATTGAAGAGCAATCTATCATGCATGACGTTCTGGTGGCTTTTGTGATGTTCTAGGAATACAGGACTAGCACGGTCACCGAGCACACGTGCGCTGCTCGGTAGTTATTGTTGGGATTGTTTATGAGAGAGCATGGTCACAGGAGAGGTGTAGGGATGTGCATTTCAGAATCTTCATGCCGTTAATCATCAAGAGCAGCTTCTCTGTGGAATTTTGATGTAGGTAGAATTGTTTGACTGAAAGTTCAGGCCAAAAGCAAAGTTAGATGTTGGTGCAGTGCAAAACCAGGAGGCTTCTGTGCTGTGACATTGTCTGCCCGACTTTACTCAATCTGAGAGCCGAGGTTCTGTGTTGCACTGGAGAGTCTGCTCACCCCTACCCCGAGAAGACAGAGCAAAGGGTGAAGACAAGCAGGAAGGCATTAAGTCTACCGGAGCAACGTGACACTAAGGTGTCCTGAAAAATCGTGAACCTAAACATCTTTGTTGAGGATAAATTGAGATGCACCAAGATTTTCATTTTTTACATGGGGATAAAGAACAGTTTCCAAATCCCTTAGAAAAAACTTTTGCCTGTGGCAAAGAACATTTCTATAAAAGTCCACTCTACCAGAAATGTAGATTGCTTTAGGTGTGAAATGTAATTTATCAGCTTCAGGGTTCTCTGTATCCAAGACAACAACTTTAAATACAGTAGGAAAAAAACATAAAGACAACATTGCCAAGAAAATGTGCTCATTAAAATAACTATAAATGAATAGGTAAATAGCTATTGTTAGCTGTAAACCCCTCTGCCCTTATCTCCAACATAGGAAATGCACTTAGGTACATAAGAAGGTTGAGCAAAAATTGAACTCTCCATGGATATAAGGACGAAAACTGTTTGACTCTCCTGAAAGCAAAGGTGTGTTTAATGTACAGTCAGTAGAAAGCTCTTAGGACTTGATAAATCCAGAAGTGCAAATCACAGTTCAGTTTGGGACCACTCTGATGGTTTTTCTTACCTTAAAAGTATGCCTTCCTTAACTCTCTAATTCATATGCTATTAATGGTGTTGGTAATTCATAAAACGAGGTTCTCAACAGCACAGGATTAACACGGTATGTCCCAGTGGACATCTCTGTCTTCCTTCCACTTTAGGATTTACTCTGGCTTTCCTGCATAGGAGACACACTTACTGCTTATTGAGGTAAATAAAAGAGATTTATAAATAGAGTATGTTTAGATAAAGGCAAAACATCATCCATCTGGAAAGAGAAGCTTATCTGCTGTAGATATGTGTTTATCGAGGGAAATTGGCAGCACATTAAACCTCGCTGCCCTGTTTTGAAAGAACATAAAACTACCATCGACTAACCCAGTGGTCTATCACAGAGCCAGTCCCCTGGGTTCCTACGCCAGATGTATTGGGCTATTTCCCTCCAGGGCAGAGCAAGGATGACTCCAGTACGGTATCAGAGTGAAAAGAAGAATGGAATATACCTTTAACGTATGCCGGGTCACATGTCATGCTCACAGAGGTGGAAACAATGATTTCTAAAGAGATGTATTTGTGGAGTGTTAAATTTTAGGCTATGTTTAAATTGATACACATAATACAGTCATGACTGGAAACTAAACACATGCTTGAAGAATGCTTCTCTTTACCCCTCCATTTGAAGAAAGTAAAAGAGATCATTTTATTTGATCTAACATGGAAGTTTTTAAAGTTCATCTCTTGCAAACTCATGTAACGTCTCTCTCTTTTGCAACTTGCAAGGTTCTTAAGCATCGGTTAAGGTTTTGCGCCAGGGAACAATTCATGTCGCCAGGTCTGGTGTGTTCTTATTTCAAGGGATACCCTCTCAAAGTTAGCCAGCCCTACCCAGAACATGATCTGGCTGATTCAGTCAGGATAAGGGCATGCCTAAAGTCTTAACAGCTTATGAGCGAATCTAAATTATTTCATTTTATTAAAGGGTGAGAGGTGAATCTGCATACGTTTTGAGAGATAACTTATTCTTCCTTGCTTTGGAATTCTGCACTAAGTGCGTGACTGTCCTTGCTGTTCTGAAGCAATGCGATCATCACAGGGGAGAATGGTGGTGTGGCTCTGTTAGAGGCCCAGGTGTTCTGGAAATGGCAGCTAAGCTTGGAAACAAAATCCAGGTAGCTATCCCACTTTAAGTCTTCTCTGTGATCCTGACTAAATATAAAACAATTCTCATGTCTTCTCTTGACACAACCATATGCCTCCCGGTGCTGGTCACACCATCATCAGCTGCTTGTCCGAGTCCCCCAGGGCACCCTGGTGGTGACCAAGATTCCTTGTGTGGGCAGTGGGCTTGGCATCCTGCAGCAGTGCCCAGGGAAGGGGAGACCCCACCTTTGGCATCAATGATGAGGAATGGTTCATGTTGCTTTGAAAACCTGGGATCAAGCCAGCCTCTATGAATGCCTCCTGTCAACCACTGTCCACTGTCATGGGACGTGCTACCCAGAAATTGTGTCTCAACTCAGCGTCCCATGGCCTCTGCGCCAGTGTCTGGAGAGCCATTACCAGTACTGCAGAAAGCAGAAGATAGAAGTCAGAGTCCAGTCATAAAATAGGAGGCACCAGCTCTTATCCTGGTCCCCAAATGAGGAACACAAGTCCCAGCAGTCACCTGGGAGACATTCACACTCTCCATCTGTAATTGCTTCTCATGGCTTCCGTAACACAGGGCCACACACTCAGTGGCTTGAAGCAGCACACGTTTACCTCCTATGGTGCTGGAGGTCAAACACCTAAAATCAAGGTGCAGAATCCCTGGGACCTGTGCGTCTTTAAGAGACTTTGCAGATGTGATTCATGAAGGGTTTTGAGATGTGGAGATTATCCCAGATCATCCAGGCAGGCCCAGTGTCATGACAGAGGTCCTTAAAAAAGAAGGCAAAGGCAGAGTTGTCTATAGAGGAAACAGAGGGCCGTGGGATGCATGGCTGCCCCACAGTTTTGTGGCTTTTTCTGTGATGGAGGCCACAGGTAATCATTGCGTCCTCCTCCTTCCAGTCCCTTCTGCTCCATGACTTCCTCCACTGCTCCGGACTGTGCTCCTAACGAGGTGACACAAACCTTCATTGCTGGAGTGTGAGACTGCAATGGCTCCACTCATTTCTTCTTTATCTGCTTTGGGGTTGTAGTTTTTCACTAACTTTTACTAATGGACGTGGAAGTACTAAGAGCTGTCCCAGAAATTTCTCTGTTCAGGCATATTGTTCCCTGCACTCACAGAGTGCAGCCAACTGAGTTTTCCCTCTGCACCAGGTGTCAATCAACCCAGCACTGCAGAACTCCCCCTTGGGCCTGTGAGGTTAAATTTATGAGACGTCTTGATTGGTCCGGTGGCAGTTTCAGCTTCTAATTCACTGGAATTGCAGTCGAATTGCAGTAGTAAGTGCTACGGTTTAAATATTTGTTCTCTCCAAAACTCATTTTGAAATGGCCATTGTAACAGCAGTAAGAGGTGGAACTGTAAGAGGAAGTTA